GATGGGTGGAGGATGCAGGGATGAGCCAGGGATGCAGGGATGGGTGGGGGATGCAGGGATGAGCCGGGGATGCAGGGATGGGCTGGGGATGGAGGGATGGGGCAGGGATAGGCCAGGGATGCAGGGATGGATGGATGGTGCTGGAGAAGCCGATGCTTCCTGCTGGGTTTATAAACAGCCCTTTTGTTGGGATGAGGAAAGCCAGGTTGTCCCAGGCACTACAAGGAGGACAATTCCATCACAGTTCCTCCTTGGAGCTGCATCCTGGATAACCAGGTGCCTCTGGATCACCTCCAGCTCCCGCAGTGTTGGCAGACTGGCACAAAAGGAGAAGTTGCTGTGCTGTGCCCTGGGCACGTCCATTCCTGGGGGGATTGTCACTGACTGATCCCCCCACGGTCCCCAACCTACAGGATTTCAGGAAGAGCAGGGAGAAAACACTCCCTCTCTGCCCACCCCACACTTTTGGCACTGCGTGTGTGTTTTAAACCCTCTCCAGGCTCTTTTTCCCCCAAAGCAGAGCCCGGGATGTGGTTTGACTCCAGGTGCCCCCTCACCCGCATGGGTTTCTGGGCTGCATCAGAGCTGGAAAGGCTGGAATTCTGCTGCTGGGATGGCAGAGAGCCAGGAAAAATTTTAAATGACTCTGTATTGTTTGATATGATCACGGACTCAATCCCAGCAATAATCCCTGCGGGTCGTGCCCGGGAGCAGCTCTGCCAGAGCCACAGGGAGAGGGATTATCCCAAGTCCTTCGACCTCCTGCCAGAGGCAGGACCTTCCTCCCAGCCCTGGGAAACCTCCTGATTCCCAAACCAGCGCTTGGAAAGGCTGTGCCAGCCCCTGGTGTCTCCCAGGGAATCACAAAATCACCAAAGTGGGAAAAGCCCTTAAAGATCATCAAATCCAACCATCCCCCAGCACTGCCAAGGCCACCCCTGGACCGTGTCCCCAAGTGCCACATCCACATGTCCTTTAAAACACTTTGTGCAATGAGTGACAACCCAGTTTCGAACCAGTGGAAACTTCCCAGCACCGAGGGGTTGAAGCCCAGTGGAAAATCCTCTTTTTTGCAGGGAAACAGGACTGGAGCTGCAGCCCAGCCCCAGGAGCAGGATGTCCTGGGGGCTGGACACCACGGCCAGCACAGACCAGCCAAGAACTGCTGCTGGGACTTGTCCCCAGGGTCAAAGCCCTTGGATGGGGAAGCTCTGCCAGCCTGGGAGAGCCTGGGGAAGAGATTAAGGAGAGAAGAAGCTATTTAACATTCCAGAAGCACAAGGCATCCATGGGATGATCAGTCACTCCAGGCAGATGGGAAATGTGGCTCCTTCCACCACGAACTGAGCAGCAAACACCCAAATCCATCACCAAGCAACAGAGTTAAATCCACTTCTATTTTCAATCCCTGCGTTTTAACGAACTGCTAAGGAATGGAAATCAATATTCTCACCCGAGGAGTGGAAGAATCCTGGAGTGGTTTCTTTTGAAAGGAATCTTAAAGGTGATCTTGATCCCATCCCACTCCCTGCCATGGGACACCTTCCACTAGCCCAGGTGGCTCCAAGCCCTGTCCAACCTGGCCTTGGACACTTCCAGGGATCCAGGGGCAGCCACAGCTTCTCTGGGAAACCTGGGCCAGGGCCTCACCACCCTCACAGCCAGGAATTCCTTCCCAATATCCCATCTAACCCTGCCCTCTGGCAGTGGGAAGCCATTCCCTGTGTCCCGTCCCTCCATCCCTTGTCCCCAGTCTCTCTCCAGCTCTCCTGGAGCCCCTTTAGGCCCTGGAAGGGTCTCTCAGGTCTCCCTGGACCTTTAAGAGTCCTGAATTTCTTACTTTACCAACCATTTTTGTTCAGGTGTTTTTAGTGACCGGTCACTTAAAATTATGATTTAACAAACCCCATGAAACTCAAACCAAAGCAGATTCAGCAGAAATCACTCCCACCAGGAACCCACCTCGTGACCTTCACCCAAGCAGAGAGAGAACATCAATTTGTGCTTCTTACCTCAAACCAGCAAATCAGTGAAAAAATGAGTTATTTTCCACCTTCCTCAGAATCCAAAGCTCCCCAAAGCCACCACGGGGAGGGCTGAGAAGAAGAAGACACCCCATGCTTGCCTTAAGATAAAAAAATTTATTTTACAGTCTTATAAAGCAGCTTTTACACGAAGCACAAACGCTGACCCATTTTCACGTCGTATAGAAACATAGAGGAACCTCTTCCTGCTGCAAAAAACTCAGGTTTGGCTGAATAGAAAACTAACTGTGCACATTGTGCTTGAACTGCAAAGGCTGTACAGCTTTACAAAGGACCACCCTGCCCAGAGCATCCTGTAAACAAGTTATTGCATATTTACCACACGGGGAGAGCCCGCCCGGCCACGGCGGCGCAGGGAGAACCCGGCAAACCAAAGCCCCACGAGGAAGGGGGTGGGAAGAGCAGCTTCCAGGGAATGGCAGCTTCCAGGGAATGGCACCTGCCCGCTGGGAGGGTTGTGCTTGTGTCACCGGTCGGGGGATCTGTGAGCGCGACGCTCCCGATGCCGCCCGGGGACGGCAAATCCCGCGGGAGGATTCGCCGGATCCGAGGCTCCGAGAGCTCGGATTAGGGTCTGGAGTCCGAGGGCTCAGTGCCAAAGATCTTTGTGTCAGTTTGGAGAGTGAAAATCAACAAAAAAAAAAAAAAACAAACCCCCAGTTGAAATGGATTTGATGGAGTTTTGGGCGCCGCTGGCGTTGGCGCCGTGTCCAATGATCCTCTGCCACTCAACTCAACTAAGGGAATGCCAGGAGAAACTCCACACGGATTCTCCACTGTTCTACCACCTCTGCTGGGGCATCCTTGGAGTTCCACCTGTGCTAAGGCCAAGAAAATGCAATGGGATGTTAAGGATCGGGTGGTGGGACAAGACCGATGGTGTTGGCACGGCTGGATCAGCCACACTCCAATCCTGGAATTGGATGAAATTCAGAAAAAAAACAACAAAAATTGGAAATTGTGGCCTCCATAAGGCACCAAAACCATCTCTTGAGCAGCACCCAAAGGGTGTCTCCAGATTCCCCAACTCCCAAACGGGGACAAAGTAGAGGGAGGAAGCAGGGGGGAGATGTCGCAGGAAGGACCAGTTTTTTGGGGGGGAAGCACGTTTTTAGGGTGGTTTTGTGTGCGCACAGATACGTAACAAAAATCACCTCTGCTACCTTTGGTATTGAAATTCCTCCTCCACCCCCAAATCCCACACGGATCCGTGTGGTGGGACCGTGGGCTGGAACATCAAGTAATTCAAAAGTTGCTTCAAATCTCCGCCAGAAATCCCAAAAAGCATCAAAAATCAAAGCAATGTTCAAATGCAGATGGATGTTGTCCTCGTGCCCGGCCTCCCTGGGGTTTGGGTGAACACCTGAAGCCCCACCTCCATGGACAGCATGGAATGGGAGAAGTGGGAGCCCCACAGTCAATCCGTGTCCTCTCTGGGAGTTTGGGGTCGGAGAGAACCTCAGCCATGGGCTGGTTTGACTCCTCTGGATCACCCCAGACACCTCAGAGTAATGTGGGTGTAAAGGACTGGGAAACAGGGGAAGAATCCACCTGGTTTCTTCTCCATCCCAGTGTGTGGGTTAGGATGTGTGGGTTGGGAAGTGCACAGGGACCACTGGTCACTTGGCAGAGCCACAAAGCAAATCACACCCAAGAAGCCACTGCTGGAGGTGTAATGACCCCTTACACTGTAAGACAGTGAATCACGGGATCCTGGAATGGTTTGGGATGGAAAGACCCTAAAGCTCATCCAGTTCTAACCCAGGGACACCGTCCACTAGCCCAGGTTGCTCCAAGCCCTGTCCAACCTGGCCTTGGACACTTCCAAGGATGGGGCAGCCACAACCTCTCAGGAATTAAAGCCCAGGCAGAGCTGCAAAGCCCTCTGGGGTAACTTCAATTTCTAAAATGCTTGATGGATCGAGCAGGTTAAAAATTAAAATCACCCCAGGAAAACCTTCATTAACCCCGACTGAATTTCCTGAGCAACTCGGACGAGCTCCACGTCCCGCTCAGCAACTCGCCACAAGTCTCCCCAAAAAGAAGTGGCCAAAGCTCAGAGAAACCTCTCAGAGGGAATCACAAAACCCAAGACAGGACATCAGGCTCCAGAGGAGGGATCCAAGCTCCGAGGTGACACCAGTGAGGGGTGATGGTGAACCTGGGGGTGATGAGGCCCCGCAAGCCCCACCGAGTTGTGCTTACGTGGCGCCGGCCGCGCGTCCTCTGCCCACACGTCTGGGGAGAAACCCTCCAGCTAAAGGATCTCCAGCCAGAGGACTGGGGAAAAACTTAAAAATGTGTATTTTTCACCCCGAGAAAAGAATTCCTATTAAAAAACACCCCCACCTTTAAAAGATACACTGTGCACTACCCAGGCTACGAGTGAAGTCACATCGACGGCGTCACACCACAGGAGCTGTTCCCACAGAGACACATAAACTCAGTTTAAGAGGCCACGGATTAACTCTTCAGGCGAGGCCTGCGGGACTTTCGAGACCTCTATGGCTTCTGCAAACATTTTCCTGTAAAAAGGAAAACTAAAACCCGACAAAACCCAGCCTCAGACTCAGGAGCACGGGGGGGGTTTCACTTTGCGAGCGCAGGGGACGGGTGACGCTCCCCGGCCCCACCCCTCGGACCCAAAGGTTCCCACCCTGGAATGCAGTGATTTCAGGAGAGCAGTTCTAAGGATCACTTCTTTGAAGGGTCCGTAGAGAAGCGGGGCTGTCACCCGGCTTTGGTGGCAGCTCAGTTGTGCTTGGCCCGCCCGCCCCGCAGGTAACTCTTCCACCTCTTGACGAACTCCTTGAAGATGGGCGAGTCGTCGATGGTGCTGAGGAGCTGCAGCTGGTTGATGTGGGTGGTGTGGTAGTCCCAGCGGGCCAGGTTGGGCGCCGTGCCCAGCATGAAGTGGCGCAGGTCGTAGATGGTGCCCGAGCCGGTGTCGTAGAGCGGCAGCATGGCCTTGAGGGACTCCATGCCACGCTCGTAGAGCAGCCGCGCCTCCCGGCCCAGCTTCTCGCCCGCCGTCTCCTTCAGGTCGTAGAGCCCGATGAGGGAGTACATGAAGCCATTGAGCACGAAGGAGCTGGGGGACGTGGGGTACTCCTCGTACCAGTCGTGCCGGTTCATGAACACGGCCTTGACCCCGCGCTGCTCTGCCGGCAGCTTGTAGGGCGCGGTGGCCCTGAGGGCCGCGCCCAGGAAGGCCGCGTCCCGCGTCAGCAGGTAGGCCCGCACCAGCGTGGACATGGCCTGGCCCTGCGCCATGGCCGAGTACCACCCCGGCTCCAGGGATTTGAAGCCCTCCCCCAGCTTCCTGGTCACCATGATGGGCCACCCGCCCCGCTCGTCCTGGTTCCTCACCAGCCAGTCGCTGGCGGCGAAGAAGGCGGCCATGTGCGCCGTGGCCGAGATGGTGACGTTGTCCAGGAAGCCCCTGCCCTTGGCCACCAGCCGGACCACCCGCTTGGGCATGATCTTGGTCTGCTTCACGGCCTTGGTGTTGGAGAGCCCCACGCCCTTGCGCAGGTCGGTGAGCAGGTCCCGGGTCAGGGTGCTCCAGCTGGTGCGCGCCCCGATGCCGTAGTAGATGTCCCTGTCGCGGAAGGCGATGAGCTGCGTGTTGGACACGTAGTGCACTGTGAACAGCTGGTTCTTCTCCGTCGTCTCCAGCACCACTGAAATGCTCCCGTTGGTCACGAACTTGAGGTCAAAGGAGATGATGAAGTCCCGGGTGTTCCCCAGCTGCAGGGACACCCCCTCACTGGTGTCTGTGAACAAACCCAACAGCTCAGCACCCCAAAGCCTGGCAGCTGGGCAGGGCAGCTCCCCCGGGCAACCCCCCTTCCCAGGCAGGATCCCAAAGCTTTTAGGACAGCCCATCAATAATTCAATCGTTTCTGAGCTGCTGCACATTATTTAATTAAGCATGAAAGTAAATCTGGGAGCGAAGGGGAGAACCTGTTTGTGCCTCCCATTAAAGGGCTGCAGCAGTGCCAGGGGCTCCATCCAGCGTTTTATGGGATGTTTCTGGTACCTCATGGATGGAGGAGAGCCATGACCCAGCAGGACCCAGGGCTGGGGACAGGCCACCAGCCTGGCAGGGCACAGGGCCCTTCCTGGAATGGGGTGGGCTGGAAGGGACCTTAAAGCTCATCTCATCCCACCCTGCCATGGGCAGGAACACCTTCCCCTAGAGCAGCACCTTTCCTCCAGGATGGGACACAGCAAGAATTGAGATGCTTCCTGATTTTCCTCTGCTGTAACTCAATAATAAACCAACAACCACCCTCTTGTTCCCAAATTAAAACCTCCCTTGGCACGACAACACCAAAACCCGGCCGCTGCAGCCTCGCATTCCTGAATAAAGCTCTGCTTTCAGCACAGGGAAAAAAAACCAGGAATGCCAGAAGCAGGTATTTAGGATCCTCCTGGGACTAATATTTCTGGGACTTTTTTCTTTCCCAACCTGACAGTGCCAAAACCCGATTAGTTTAATGGGGGGAAAAACCAAGGAATAAAGACGAGTGTGTTAAAATATTTCTTACCCTCTGCATCGGCAAAACTCAGCTTAATTTTAAGCTATAAATTAAATAAAGCTCCCAGGCAGTGCCACAGAATAAAATCCAGTGTTCTCTGGATTTGAAAATACAAAATCAACTTCTCCCACAAAACCTACAGTGGGAGATCAAAGGGATAATTAATTTGGAAGGCTGAGAGCAAATCCTGGAGGTTTGAGTGCACAGAGGGATGATGAACACTTAAAGAGTGTCACATCAAATTAAGGGCTTTCCATGGGATAAAACTCTCCTGGAAAAGGCCATTGTTTCCTTATTTCTGCTCTGGGATGTGGGAAATACCCCGGACGTGTTTCTCCGTGCAACCAGCACGTCATGGGCAGCTTTTCCTGCCTCCCAAACTAATCCCTGGAATTTTAAAACACCTCCTGTAGAGACTCTGTTGTCCAGTCTCATTTTTTTTGACCGAATGTCATGTTTTCCAAGCTTTTCAAGGAAAAGCTGGGAGTTTTAAGCTCAGCATCTGCTCTGAGAGAAGGAACCGAGCGCTTTGGGCCACCACATTTTGCTCCTGTGGAAAAAACCTAATTAACCTCCCCCTTCTCACAGTTCCTGTCAAGTGAGTTTTATGGTTCCTTGTAAATAAATTATAACAAAGAGAATTAGAAAAGAGGGAGGAAAAAGAGTTTGGAGAAGCAAAGAACTAAAGGCTGCTCGTGGCTGCTGTGCCTTAAGCATCCATAAATCCATTACTTAGGGCCTGCTCAGAGGAGTGGATGCATATCCATATCCATGGATTACTCAGCCATCAATAAAGGATGAGGAGAGAACACAGCCCAGACCTTTTATCCTCCCCTCTCCCTGTATTTATCCACTACAAAGACACAAAAGTGTTGGACAACCTTTTCCCGGGAGCCCCAGGGCCGAGGTGCCAACGGAAAATTACTTCATTGTCCTTGGAAGTAATGGACTCATTAATTCCAGTGGGTATTGATTGAGGGAAAATACATTAGGGCCTTATTAATGAGCTTGGCCTGGCACAAGGGGAACTCTTGGATTAAATAATGGGTTTCCCTCCTAAATACCAAACAGAACAGGGGGAATCAGGGAGGTGGCAGCAAAATGCAGTGAAGGGAACAACTGGGAGACCCCAAAACACTCTTGTTCTTTCTTTAAGGCAACTTTAGGGAGTGTCAGGGAGGTTTGGGATGGATACTGGGAGCAGGTTCTTCCCCCAGAGGGTGTCTGGGCACTGCACAGGCTCCCCAGGGCAGTGGGCACAGCCCCAAGGAGGGTTTGGACAATGCTCTCGGGCACAGGGAGGGATTCTGGGGTGTCCTCAGGGACTTAATCCTTGGGGTGCCTTCCAACTCAATATATTCTGTAATTCTACCTGGGTTCAGCCAGAATTAAGACCCTAAATTTTACAAACATAGTTGTATCCCAGTGAAGGGAGAGAGATCTCCTGGTCCTGCCCCTCCAGGCTGGAAACAGCCCTTATGTGGCCCCTGTCCCATCCCCTGTCACACCCCACACGCTCCCCAGACCCCACACGGCTCCCCCCTCCTCCTCCAGCTGCTATTTTGGGACAGGAGCTGGAAGGCTCAGGGAATGTGACTCCTCATCCCCCTCCACGAGCACATCCAGCCTTTTGGTTGGAGTAACAGTGCTGGAAGCCAGTGGTGCGGAGAAAACAGGGGGGAAATTCCAGAGGGAAAGGGATCAGGGGTTGGATGAGGTGATTTCCAGGGGCCCTGAGGGGAGGAGTGAAGGGGGGGTGAGCTCTCAGGTGAGGTGGATGGGGGATGAAGGATGTGGGATGAAGAATAGGGAATGAAGGATGAGGAATGAAAAGGATGGGGAATGAATAGGATGGGGAATGAATAGGATGGGGAATGAATAGGATGGGGAATGAATAGGATGGGGAAAGAAGGATAAGGAATGAAGGATAGGAAAAGAAGGATGGGGAATGAAGGATAGGGAATGAAAAGGATGGGGAATGAAGGATGGAGAATGAAAAGGATGGGGAATGAAGGATAGGGAATGAAAAGGATGGGGAAAGAAGGATAAGGAATGAAGGATAGGAAAAGAAGGATGGGGAATGAAAAGGATGGGAAAAGGATAAGGAATGAAGGATAGGAAAAGAAGGATGGGGAATGAAGGATGGGGGATGAAGGATAGGGAATGAAGGATAGGGGATGAAGGATAGGGGATGAAGGATAGGGGATGAA